ATATTTTTAGTATATTCAAGCAATTCACGTGTTTATATATCTTCAAGTATTTGTTTAATTTGTTACAAGCTTTAACCAATGAGATGGGAAAATGTGTAAAGATATATTTTTGTAGAAAATAATACTATAGAAATACACTTGTGATATTTGTGATACATGATTTTATTTTAAACTTGGATATATTATATCCATTTTTGAGAATATTTGGGAAATGTATTTCAAATATTTGAGAAATTAAATATATATTCTATTGCCGGGATTGTGAATTCAAACGATAATTTCTTGAGATCAAGTTTTCTCAATAAGAATTCATTTCTAATAAGAAAATGAGATGCAAAAATGCATCCATAAATGGGTATGAATTTTATAAAAACATTTTTTATATGGGGAATTTATATCCCAAATTTTAATATTCATATTAATACAATATCTCTTAATATGGAGGTTATATATTAATGAAGATATACTTTGAAAAAATACATTTTTATTATGGTAATAAAATCAAAGTTGAAAGCTAATATTGAAATTGCGTGCTTTGCTTTCATATAATGAAGGTATAATAGTGCCTCCATGATAAATGAAATGTAGCATATATGTACTCCAATTATACAAAATGTATAATGGTGAAATAGAACTAGATAAATTGTGTGTCAGTTTTTGAAGTGTAAAAGACTATGCCATAATGAAATAACCTAAAAAAAAAAAATTCCCAGTTATACTTAGCTTGAAGCTAATGTAATATTTCATGTTACAAACTTAATTGAAAAATTCAAAGAGCTTGTACATTATTTACTATTAACAACTCTTGAAAAGTTTGAATTTTATAGCTTGGAAAAGTAAAATTTTTAAATATGTGGTTAGTTGTATTTTAATAGATTATATTGAAATATACTAAACTTTAAGAGTATAAATATATAATGATTCTCATACTGAACCATGAATGAGGATAGTACAAAATGCCCCTTATATCACATCTCTTATGTGGTTAAAAGATATATTTGAAAAGTTTTTCTTCTTAATTACACATAAATTTAATAGGATTAAACATTGGGTTAACTAAAAAGTTGATTCTAGAATGATTTGAGCCTAAATAACTTGGCTATCAAATGATTTTTTATATGTTGCATCGCCTTAAAGCATGGTTACCAAGCATTTTATAAATACAATTGAAATATAATCTCTTTCATTGTTATATTGGATTCAAAGAGATATATATAAGCTTATGCTCAATTATTTGAATGTATTTTAATATATTATAGCATCATTATATGCTTGAATATGAAGGTGACAAAATAGTCCCTTAAGCCCCTTAGGCAAGATGAAATATTATATTGAAAACATATCAGACTTGATAATGCCAAAGAAGGTTGGGAGTTTATATGGGTTGATTGTGGATTTTTTTACAACAAAATTTGTTGATTATCAATCTAAAGGAATCATATTCCTAGCATCAAGGGGAGAAAAATAAATATTAAGAAGGTAAGAGATAATTTAAAATGCATATTCCAAGATCATCGAATAAGTTGATATGAATTGAAATTCTAAAATTCTATATTATCAATTGATGAATGCATTTATTGACAAAATGAAAGTAATAAATCATAAATCTAAGCATTAAGTATGCCTACATGTATTGATATTTTTATTAGAAAAGTTGCTAAAATATTAACAAATAAATATACGCTAAAAGCATGTTAGAACGAATGGCTCTAAGGATAAAAATCTAAAAATGAAAAGAAAGTAAAAGCAAAATGTTAGTATTGTTTAAATCATAACACTCTTAAAGAGTTCTTGAGGAAATAACCCTAAGAAAGGGTTTAGGCACCGAAAAATAATAAGAATGTTGAAATTATAGATAACGATGAGATCTTTATAACTTATAGTTTTCTTGAAAAAGGATGGAACCAAAAGGAGATTATTATTGGTAAGAAATTTCTTGCGTATGCAATAGTGATTGGTATAGTCAATGACAATGAGGCTCTTATCTGAAATTCATTGAAAATTGTCGACAAAGAAATTATTGATTAATATGAAAAGAGATAATCCAAATAGAATTAAAATCATAGAAATTGCATGATGTTTTTGGATTAGGATTTTAAATATATGATGAAATAGTATCTATCAAATTTATTAAAATGAAAAGCCAACAAATTCTCTTTACAAAATTATTAACTTCTAGAACTTTGAGCAACTAAGACACTTGATTGACATAAATTGCTTGATTATGAATATATATTGAATTTAGAGAGAGTATTATACACACTGTACTCTTTTTTCCTTCACCAAGGATTTTATTTTCCACTGGGTTTTTTCTAGTAAGGTTTTTAATAAGGCAGCTTAACAAGTATATAATAAAATGTGAACATTAAAAGGGGAGTGTAATGAATCCATTTATTATAGATCTTTCACCTTCTTCATCCTATCACCTCCCCACTTTCCTTGGCATTTACACACCAAGTAATCCCATAATACCATGCATTTAAATGGTGATAATGAGATTCCTTGTAACTCTTCTATTAGTAGAAGATTAATTCTTATAACCTCCTATTTAATGGATATTTATTCCTTATAACTCCTATCACTTATTAAACCCTATATATAAGGCTTGTACTCTTACAAATGTATTGAGAACAAATGAAGAAGAGAAAAATGGAAATATAATATATCTTTGGATTACCTCACTTTGTCTTTTTAATTTTTCTTCTTCTTCTAATTAATTCTTTCTTTTTTTTTACAACAAATTCATAATAATTGTGTGATTGCTTTAGTTATTTTATAAAAAAGAAAAATAAAGTAATGAGGGTATTGATGATAACATTGCCCCTTAATTACCACACTTG